AGAAGGGTCATGTGATTGCTTACGCTTCAAGGCAGTTAAAGCCTCATGAGGCGAACTATCCTACTCATGACCTGGAGTTAGAGGTTGTGGTTTTTTCCCTCAAGATTTGGCGACATTACTTGTATGGGGTCCAGTGTACTATCTACATAGATCATAAGAATCTGATGTATTTGATAGATCAGTAAAACCTGAATATGAGGCAGCGCAAATGGTTAGATATGATGAAGGATTATGATTGTGAGATTCGGCATCATCCGGGAAGGCCAACGAAGTGGTCGATGCCTAGAGTCGCAAGGCGACTAGTGCTCCTATCAGAGACCTATGCTTAAGAATGATTGTCACTTCACCACTATTGGATTTGATCAAAGAGGCGCAGATTAAGGGATTGTAGGAAGAAAGTTAGATGAAAGAAAAGATCAGGGGTCAGATTCCTTCATTTGACGTAGATATTCGAGACTTGTTGACTCAGTGCGGCAGAGTGTGGGTTAATGTTCCTTCATTTGTCATCGAACCAAGAAGTAGATGTCTTTCCCCGGACCTTGAGCAATCTTGTTTTCTCATCTACCATCTTTAAGGTTATGTTTGTTGTGTCATAACTAGCTGATAAGTTAGCTTATTTTTCAAGTTTTTTTAAGTTGTCATGTTTGACAAGCTAAAAAGTAGCTTATAAGCCAGCTTTTTAAAAAACTATTTAGACTAGCTTTTTAGGAGTGTTTTTAAAATTTTTCAAATATACTTCTTAATTAATTATAGAAACACATTCTTTTTACTGCCCTATATGTCATTTTATATCTTTCACCTAGTTTTACCAAACACCATTTTTTTATCAGCTAACTTTTCACCTATCAGCTAGCTTTTTATTTAGCAGCTAGCTTTTCAACTAGTTTGCTAAACATAACCTAAGTTTTAAGTCGCTTCTTGTTTTGTTGACAACCTGACGATCACAATTTACAAGTTGTTTTTTGGGCCTTTATGTTATCTTCCAATTGTGGTTTAAATCGTAAGTAAGAATCAACTTACGAGGCCTTGTTAAAACATCATTAAGAACGAGTTTCACCTACTCACACGTCAGTTTTTCCAGACCATATGTTACATGTCACAAAATAAGCATTGCATATTGTCTTCCAAGTTCCACCACATTCAAAGAAATTTGTAAGTTGGAACACATTGTGCATTTGTAAGTTGTAACCATAGAAATCTAAATCGAAGTTCAAATTTGTTTCGTCAAGTTTAATATTTCGAACTATTTCTTTTTCCGTAAAGTAGGTTCGACACTCATTATCAAGTTTGAAAAATCAGATTTTATCATAAAAGTTATTTTTAGTACTTGTTTCTTATTGGAAAATTTAAGTTAACCTCCTCAAAATGGAACACATTGTGCATTTGTATGTTGTAACCATAGAAATCTAAATGGAAGTTCAAATTTTTTTTGTCAAGTTTAATATTTCGAACTACTTCTTTTTCCATATAGCAGTTCCACACTCACTGTCAAGTTTGAAAATTCAGATTTTATCATAAAAGTTATTTTTAGTACCTGTTTCTTATCGGAAAAATTAAGTTAACAACCTCAAAGGGAGTTTGAAAATGGATATTTTCGAATATAATATTTATTTTGGCTTTTTCTAAAAACAACGATTATTTGGTTATATTTATGTATAGAAAAAGCGATTATTTTCGTGTTATTTTCTAATTATAGATGTGAACGGCTCTATTGCATCATGCTATTCTCGTTGTTGTATTCTTTTTGCCATTCACCACCCATGCTACTTTCAAATCGAATTTACAAATGAAAAAAAGCAATACCATATGTTTAATAAACGGGACAATATTAATAAATAATAAAAAAAACCTTCATTCTTTATAATCAATTTAACCCCTATTAATCTTGTATAAAATATGGCAGCAATCTTGTTTTTATTAATATGTTTTAGGAGCGTTTCTCAAAACAAATATGTTTTCTGTTCTAAAAAGTACGTTTTTTTTAATATATCAATATCATCGTTATATTATTTAATTATCATTATAATATTAAATGTAATAATATGGTATTTTGGCTGGTCTTCCTAAGAAAATATAGTATTTTGCATAAGACATGCGAAAATACCATGTTTTCCTACAAAAATATGGTATATTACAAGTCTTCCGCAAAAATGGTATTTTTGCAGGAATGTCGGCAAAAATACTAAAAAAATATAATGTTTTCCTATCTTTGTGCAAATATTAAATCTATGAGAATATACCAACGAACATAACATTTTAAGACGTTTTTGGTTTAGAAAATGAAAAATAAGAAAGAATTATGTTATAGAGGATTAAATAAGTAAACCAGCTCGGCCCATTTCACAACCATATTGCCCATTTGGCATGAAGGGATGTTGTATAGTGGTTATTTAGATATTTTCCTTAATTTGTCTAAATCTTATAACAAGATTTTGAGATATGTCTAAATTTATCCTTTTTCTTTTTATAAAATTCATCAATATTTACTGATTATAGTCTTATATTGTGTTTATTGTAATATTTTATTCGGTGAACCCACTAAAATCTTCAAATTCCTATTCTAATAAATGAATAGTTTTAATCTTTTTTTGTAAGTGTCACTCTAATACAATTCATTATTAATATTATGTCATGTGTCATCTAGATATATTAGGAAACTCATTTCAAATTCAAATTTATATTTTCTAATTATATGTTAAATTTAAAGTTATAATAACTTTAAAATTTTGATATATCTCTTAATTAATAATTTATTTAAAATAATTGATTAATAATTATAAACTTTTATTATGAAAATTTAATTAGTTTTATAACTCATGGTTCCCACGGGTTATAAACTAGTATATTAATAAAAAATTCATTTTGTCACATGTTAATCTCTTATGGTTTTTAACACTTATCATTTTATGATATTTTTGAAATAAATAATATACACATGTCAATTTTTGGATTTTTTTTTTCAATTTTTAAGATTAAAAAGCCACATAATAATTATATAGTTAAATATGTAAAGTATTAAATGTAATAATGTCATCTTCTCATGCAATATATGACATTTGTCATTTTTCTGACTTGTTTTGAATTATTTAATATTCATTTGTAATTTTTGTGTTTTTTTTTCCTTTTTATTCAAATGTCATCTAATAAATGACACCTCATAATGAAAAATATTATTAATATATTACTTAAAATATGTATAGAAACCTTCTGTTTATAAATTCCTATATTCATGGTATATGTTACTCAATCTTAAAGACTTCCCTATTTATCATCTTTATTTCTCAAGTAAGGGAAAAATAAATGAAAACAAACTTGTTAAGAGTTAAGATTTAACCATTATTCTAACCAATTTTATAAGTGGTTTGAAATCCAAAAAAATAAAATTGCAACTATATAATTAAACCCTAATTTTCATTATCTTTTTTTCTTTTTTTAGTATTTAGAAAAAACGATATTCTTTCACCTTAAATTAATGTTTATTAATATTGTTTTTTTTTGTTATGCTTAATATCATTATTAGAATCATAAAGTAGTTTAAGAAGAATAGTGATATCATTTATGACTTTTTTTAAATCAACTATTAGATCATATTATTTAATATATATTTAGTATTTTCCCATTGAATTGCATAAATATCAATTCAAAATAACTAATTTAAAATATTATTTTGCTCATGAATTAAATATAACTTCACAATAGATGTATTATTATTTTGCCTAGTACTTTATAAGTTAGCTTTCCTAAAAACTATTTGAAAAGCTAATTAGTAAGCTTCGTGGAATTACTAATTTTCTCACCAATTTTCCAAATATACTCTAATATTTTCATTTCTCCATATATCTACATTCCTTTTGATTTCATTTTACAGTTGACATCTAGCTTCTCAGCTATTTTTTATAAAACTCTATTGTTTTATCAACTATCAATTAGTTAGTTAGTTAGCTAAAAGTTGTTTGATAGTTACTGATTGGGGTTGACTGACTTAGTCATGAGTCAAGACATGACTGCACAGCCATGAATCAGCCACAAATCTAAGGGAGTAAAAAAAAAAGGAGACAAGAAAGAGTCACAAGCTTCTAAATATGATATCAAACAGTCTGAATCTGAATCTGACCAAGTGAGATTCAATCTTTCTCTTACCAAACCCAGTAAAAGATATATCAAACAACCTCTTAATTAGGTAAGTTATCAGGCAAAAGCTAGTTTTACTGTTATTCCGACAAACACACAGACTCAATCTTAGATTATCCACATTGTTGTTTCAAAGTGTTTGCAACAGCCTTGTAAAAGTGCCAAGTCAACCCACATCTTGTAAAATTGTCTTTTAACATCTCAAAAAGATATAATGGTTTGATCACGAAAACATGATAATTCAATGGCTAAATGAATCAAATGGTGAAGATAAATGGTGCTTTTTATCTTTCCCCCTAAAAAGCTAAAACCTACATACACTAATATATATACACATCAAAAAGAAGAAACACACATCTCATACCTATAATGGGACCTCAAACTATAATGGGACCTCAAACTAATAGTAGTGGTACAAAAGTTGCAATTTTTTTGTCTAATCCAAAAAGTAGAAATGAGGCTTTCCCCAATAAGTCTTTAAACTTTTTAACAAATTTCCCCTCATTAATGAAAACTAAAAGGTATGTAAAAGAAGAAAACATGAACTTATCAAACTCACATCCTAGATGAATACCACACAAATGAAGTCACAAGAACACAAGTGATCGATATTGGGTAAATCTGCATAAACAACTGAAAGTGAACCAACATGCTGATTTCAATTTCCAGCAACAAGGTAACATACGATTATGGATTATATATATATATATATATATATATATATATATATATATATATATATATATATATATATATATATATATACGGTAGAAAAAAAAAAAAGTAACACGCTTCATTAAGAGTCATGATCATAAATACTTCACTATATAGCTCAAGCTTAGGCATGGCATACCCGAAATTTGCATTCTTCAAGGCATTGAATTTGCAGAATCAGAATCATCTATCCAACCACCATTTACACCGGTGTCTCCACCATCAACAGCTACCCCATTCACACGCCAATTTGGCCAACTGGGTGTCTGTGTCTCTAAGCCATTATCCTGTCCGGAATCAGGTAGCACATCGACTTCAACAGTTTGCCCGATGTGAGTCAAGGGGAACATAACGTCAGGGTCGAACTCTGAATGCATGTATTGGTGCTGAAGATTGCTGAATCCAATTCCCAACATTGCTTCATCATCAACATCTTCCATCAAATCCCCCAATCTCAAAACCCTAGACCTGGACCTCCTTCGTGCTTTCACATCCCCGATGACCGGTTCTCTTGGCAACTGGAACCGACATACAGGACACGAGTTATGATGCGAAAGCCATGGAAGTATACAATCTGGATGGTACATATGCTTACAAGGCAACTGCTTGGTCTCGTCATCAATTACAAACTGATCTTTACAAACAGCACAGAGGACGATCGGATCGATGTCAAGGAACGCGGAAGTGATCTTAACCAAAGGGATCGCTTCGATGGCGGACTTCGATGTAGGGGAGTGATGGAGAGATGTTGTGACGGTCGTTGTGGAAGGTGATGAGTCACTGGAATTAGTAAGATGGTTGATTAAGCGGTGGAGGTAAGGGCTGTCGAGGAGGAAGTTGTCGTCGGAAGCCGTGACGGAGGGGAAGGGGAAAGTCCTGGAAGAATCGGCGGTTGTTGTCGGTATAGATGGATCAAAGGATGGAAATGATAATTGAGAAGAATGTTGATTTGGGTAATTAGGGTTAGGGTTATTGTTGGAAATGACTTGTTCGAGGCAGTCACAGTTGCAGTTAGGGCAGAGGAGAGAGGTTGTGGAGGTGGTTGTGGCGGAGGAGGAGGAGGAGGATGGTGAAGGGGATACGTCGCAGTTGCAACAATGGCAGCGGTAGGTCAGGCGTTCCATGAAAGCGGTGGTTGCGGTGGTGGTGGTGGTGGTGGTGGTTGGAGAAGCCATATAAGATTTGGGGAAAGAGATTTTCAATAAGGCGAGTGTTGTTTTTGAGGATCGTGAGGAGAGAGAAAGTGACATAAGCTATGCCGCTATGGGTGATTGGTTTTTTCTGTTTATTTTTATTATTATTTGTTTTTTTCAAGTAAAACTGAGAGTATCATTTATTTCATCGATAGTTTTATTTGTTTGTTTTTTTGTTTTTATTTTTGTTTTTTTTTAGATCTCAATTAAATAACTTATTGATTAACGACAAATTTTAAAAAGTTTATAAAATTATTTATTTATTTTGTTTTTATGATATTTTTTATAAACCTCGACATTTAATTTGTTAATTTTAAATACTATGTAAATTTATAAAAGTAAAAACTACTCTATAGTAATATTAAATAAAAATAATATATTACCAAAAGAAAATTAAATAATATATTACAATAATTAGTACTCTTCAATTTGGACCATATTAAATAAAAAATAAAGTTTTAAATAGGCGTAACGGGTAAACGAGCAACAAGTTGTGCCGCAACCACTTTTTGGATAGCAAAACTAATTCTTTTAAAAACAACATCTATAGATCTAAGAGTCATAACATTACTATGCATGACCCGTTGGACCCTATTGAGTAGCTCCACAGCTTCTGGCGTAAGGAAACCGAAAGTATCAAATGCAAAGGGTATAAACATGTGTTGATTTTTCATGCATATTTTTTTATGTTTTGCCATTTTGCTTGATATAGCTTTACAGTAGTTTGCTCCACAGTGAAAACCTCACTATCCAAGCCCACAAGAGGGAAACCCCTGTTAGATCCACACATGCATGTTTTCCTTTATCTCATCTAAATACTAAAATATCAGCTGATGTAAGTGTTGATCTTCCTTCCAATTGGTCAGTTGTCTCTTTCTTGGTAGAAACCTCAAGCCCACGATAATGGAATGTTTTTAAATTTTCAAAAAACATAATAAAATTTTTGTATTTTTAATTATATTTTTTTTTAAATCATATGGTTATTATTAATTTAATTTTTTTAAAATCATATGGTTATTATTAATTTAATTATATGTAAGTGTTGATTTTTTTAAAATCATATGGTTATTATATTAAAAATTAAAATGATATAAAATACTAATCAAAATATAATAAGACCTTAAGATTAAAAAGTATCTTCAATATTTTTTTTCCATCTCAACAAAAAAAATTAATAATTTAAATAATCTTCAACTATAAAAAATCTTTAGATTTTTTATAAAATTAATTTATTTAATTTTATGATATATTTTTTTTATAAAATTCCTTATATAATTGTTTTAATTTTAAATATATGTAATATTTATAAAATTAAAAAGTAATTTACAATATTATTAAATAAAATTTATATATTACATAATTCTATATATATATATATATATATATATATCTATATATATATATATATATATATATATTAAATCTAAAGGAAGTTAGCAATAGTAACTTTTATGTCTTTAGGTTTTTGCCACAAATGTTTAGTGAATTTGACACTTTTAGTCCTTAAAGTGAAAACTTTTACAATTTTGTGTTTTGATTAAGTTTTTGTGCTTTTAGGGTTTTGCCACAAATCTTTAATAACTTTGATACTTTTCGTCCTTGCAGTGAAAAGTTTTATATTATGGTGTTTTTGCCACAAATCTTTAATGAAATTGACACTTTTCGTCCTTATAGTCAAAACTTTTACATTTTGACATAAAAAACACAAAAAACCTCCTTTAGAATTTTGTCACCATATTTTCTCAAATTTGGCAACTTTCACATTATTGCCACAACATTTTTGGATTTTCTCCACCAGTGTCCCTTCTTTTGGTTGTCGTACACTTTGGACATCTAATTTTAGGGGTTGTCGACTTTCTCTCCTATTTGCGGTGATTTACACTTTCAGCACGTATTTTTTAAAGTTTGCCGATTTTTCCCATATTACCCCAAAAGCGGCGTAGCCGCGAGTTCTTTGCTAGTTAAAATTAAAACAACATATTACATTATTGCATTTCTTATTAAAAATAGGGAAATCTACAGAAAAATCCCAAACTTTTGGAAAATGTTTCAATAAAGTCGTAAAAGTTTTTTTTTTAATAAAAAAGTTCTCAATTATTTAACATTTTTCCCAAATTAACGAAAAAAACCATTTTTTATATTTGAACAGCAAATTACAAATTATATGATTTTCTCAAAATAATAGGACTTTTATTTTCAAAAAAAAATATGACTTTTTTAAAACTTTTCCCAAAAGTTTGAGACTTTTTGTAAATTTCACTTCAAAATATAATAAATTTATTATGTTTATAGTTCTAAAAACAAATAATAATATAATACTTATAAATTTAACATTTAGTATTGGAGATTAAAATTATACAAAAATAATTGGTAAAAAAAATAACTAAATGACATTTGGGCTAACGATATCAGGTATTGTTAAATTGGTGATTTTTAGCCAAATGTTGAGGTAAGTATCATCGGAGATAATGTGTAGATTAAACAGTAAAATAGTTGGTTTTGAGTAATTGTTCATAAAATATAGTAAAAAAATAATAAAAATTTAAAGGTTAAATAATATAACAGGAGTAAAATAAAATGTTATTAAATGGAGAGGGTTAATTGTGGCAAACATAAAAAGGAAATCTTCGATAAAATTCTAATATTTTAGGTCAGTTTACATTTTAATCTCAACTTTTATTTTTTTAAACAGAATAGTCTCGATTATATTATATTTTGCCCAAATTAACAAAACAATTTTTATTGTTTTCAACAGAAAATGACAGATCACCGTGGACTTTTATGTCCAAAAAACAAATGTTGAGATTAAACCATAAACTAACCCAAAACATTTATCGAAAATTTCCTAACATAAAATCCCAAAAAAAAACCATTTACTAAATCTAACTATTATTGACAAAAAAAAAAGCAATTCTTTAATAAAAAAGTCATATTTGATATCTTAAAAAAGATAACATTAAAGATACTACTATTATATACTTCAAAAAAAAAGTTACCAAGGTGGTAAACCGAAGTATGGTAGAGGAGTTAATTCAATGTATTGAATTAACATAAAGTTATCAAGGAGGTAGTTTAAGGATTCAGATAAAGTCATTTTCAATGCATTGAATTTATATTAGTTTAATAGATTGATACATCATTTTACTTATTAAACTCTACACTTCATTCAACTCCATAATATATATATATATATATATATATATATATATATATATATATATATATATATATATATATATATATATATAGCTAGGTTCATTTGTTTAAACTAAGTATTGTGTTATTGTATTCATAAATGTGGACCAATCAAAATTTAAAATAAAAATAAATAATTAAATAAATAAATAAGGGTAAATAGGTAATTTGATAATTAGTTTCCACAAATAATAGCCTATAATTATGGTAACCATTGACTTAGTTACCTAGGTTTTTTCCATCCCTTTTTAAAACCACAATGACGAATGAAAGGGGTGTTTTGGCTCGGTGACTCTTTGTGTTCGTTCTCCCATCGTCGGCAGCCCCAAAAACAACAGCGGCAGTGGCGGTCGACAGACAAGAAATCGCATGTAGTAAGGGATGGTCAATCGATCTCCGGAGGACTTCTCCTTCGTTCATCTGCTTCGTCACCAGTGATCACAAATCAACAGCGGGAGAAGAATCGATCGACAGAAGACGGTAAGAGATTTCATCTTTTCTCTTTTCTCTTTTCCTTTTTTTTCCAGCAGTCTCTAGTTGTTCTTGTTTGGGTTGATTTGAAAGAAACGGAGGTAGGAAGGGATGGTTGGAAGGTGGTTCGGTGGAGGCAGGGAAGAAGAACCGAAATCAGATGGGTGAGTAAAACTGTCTTCTAGATTCCTGTGAGCTCTAACATCCTATTTCAAGGTTGTTCGCACACCAAATTAGTATTTATTCTTATTTCTGTGCCGGTCCTACGTTTGAATTCATATCAGATGTCACGTGTTCTCCATCTTAATGAGATGCTTGGTTACTTCTCAGGATCTTGTGTGGCTGTTTGGCCATTGTTTGGTTTTTTTTTTGTGAAATCAATGATAAAGATGATGACTTGATGAGGGCATTTATGTCAAAATCAAAAAAAAATTATTGTTTAATGGAGTCTGATGTATGATGATAAAAGAGGCAAATTTGGTCTAAAAGCTTGAACTCTATCCTAAAGTTATGGGTTCTGAACATGTCAATTGCTCTAAAAGGAACAGTTTGTTCTTGACCAGTTTTTTGGCTGCATTTTATGAATTGATTCATATTTCAATTTATGTTTTTTTTTTCTAATTTAACACTTCATTTATATGGACAGTGCAGGATCTTGACAAGGTTGAATTTTGAAAAGGTATCAAGTATGTTTATGTAGATGATTCAATGGATGATATTAGTGAGATTCCAATTCTATTGGAATGGAATCGCGAATACCAATTATGTTGGAATGGAATCACGAATTCCAATTCTGTTGGAATCACAGAAGTTAATGCTTGAAGAACGAACCACAAAATTGAAATTGACCACATTATTCTTTTAGAATGTATTAGTAGTTGTTAGATTTTGATGTTTTCTTTCCCGTTTTGAAAGTTTTTTAGTTTTATTCTTTAACAATAAATGTATTTATTAGCAATTATTACATGTATTCTATAAGAATTAATATAATTTTTGTTTTAATTCTTCAATTGCTGGTTCGAGAATTTGTTATTCTACAAGAAAAATATGTTCAAGAATATTTTTATTATTTTATGGTTCAAGATTTTTTTTTTATTTTTGAATATATTCAAACATATTCTGTCAGAATGTCCGAATTAAAAACCTAATAATTCGTAAAATCAGATTTTTAAAATTAATAGAATTTATGATCCCTTAAAATATGCAAACTTCATTTATTAAATCTATGTTAATTGACTAAAATACCCTTCTAGTTAAACTAGATGATATTTTTTGATTATTTTTAATTCAATAATATGTATTAATCATTTTCTTAAAATAAGTAAAATGATTGACCATATTTATACATACAATAACACAATAATTAGTTTGAATAAAATAACCTAGGCCTATATATATATATATATATATATATATATATATATATATATATATATATATATATATATGATGAGAGAGTGTAGAGTTCACCGATTAAATTACCCATTTTATTGAGTGTCATATTATTAATCCACCTTGTGGATTTTGAGTTTAATGTATCTCATTTATTTGTATTTTTCCGAACATGCCATTATATAAAATATTATTTTCCTAAACAACCGTTTATATTACAAAGAGTACGAGCAACAAAATCACAGCTAATAGTGCCACCGTCAGATCTAAGAACTCTCAGATATCTTCGCCGCTTCTAAATCAGCTGCTTTTTTCAGAAAACTCTGATCATCATCCTCCACCGCCATCTGAATCGGCGAAGACCCCAACCCATCGGCAATGGCGAGCATGATCTTCTTCATCTCCGACCTGAACTCCTGCAGGTCAACGGTGCCGTTCTGGTCTTCATCGAAGCCCAGATACACAGAATCGTAGAGACGGGTAAGCTCCTCCGGGGGCAAGGCGGTGTCAACTCCGAAGTGAGCTTCCAGCAACCTCATGGACTCAAAAGCCTTACGCATCTCGGATCTTGATAGAACGCCGTCGTTGTTGACATCAAGAGAGTCGAATTGGGCGTCGACGCTGGTTTTGAACTGAGTTTCGTCGTTCATGAAGGCTCGTACGGTTGACCCGTCGATGATTATTACACCCATATCTGTATGTTTGAGAGAGAGAGAGAGAGAGAGAGAGTTGGTGAAACGTGTTTGCAGCACACAGAGTTGAATGGTGACGAAGATATTTTATATACATGTACGGTAGAGATAGAGATAGATACACACGAAGCATGTACTGTTGAGTGATGGATAATTGGAGATATAAATTACTATAAATTTATGTAAAGTTTTTTCTTTTTTCTCCTTTTTAGGAAAGTATTCTTATAAGACCTTTTTTTTATTAGATAAAAAGGATTTTAAAGTTTCTTGAGGTCGACGGACTCATTTATGTGTTGGTATATTCTTTTATAGTTTTATTTATACTATTTCTTTTATTTCTTATGATTTAAAATACATAAAAAATCATTAGATTTTGTTTATGTTATGCTTTAACGTCTTACAAATTAGTTTTATTAGGCTATTCGGTATGGGAAGTAATTCACGCATGTTTCCCATGTGACAAGTCACACCAACCTATCAGTGAACACCGCCCTAGAGGCTAGTGGGTTGGGTGTGGAGTGGGCGGCATTGGTGATGAAGACACATGAAGACATCCAATGGGAAGACGTGGGTTTCCAATTTCTCTCTCATCCTTTTTGCTCATTCATTACCAACTCACCGGTAAACACCATTTCCACAACCTAATTGGTTGGTTGTGGAATGCTAAAATACCTACGTGACACTGAGTTGGATGGTGGTTTGGATGTAACCACTCCCCACAGCCTTAACGAAAGCCACCGAATCTTGAATACTTTTTCTATATCGATCATTTATTTGCTATGACCAATGATGTGAAATCCTTCACCAACTGACCTAGATGTTGCGAACCCGATTAAACCATCTTGAGACGTTCTTCAGACATGAAGTCACTCTATTTGTGGTCACCCACTCAAGTTGTACCTGGACAAAACATTACTCATAGATGTTATAGAAGAGATTATGGGTAACAAGTAGACGGTGAAAGTACGACCTTCGAGTGGAGGATGATAAAGCAAACCACCAAAGTCATGTACGACAGTCTTACAAGAAAGATTATTAGCAATCGAGATCCACAACGAGAATCCGTAACGACAAAACATTACTCTTCATGTTGGTTTTACGTTTTCTATATCGTATTTTTAATTTGTTCGACAAGGGGACAATCTCCTTATACCTTTCTTATATTTGGATTAGATTAATAATAATAGTTGGATTTATTATTTTTCGGCTTGTTTATGTTTGATATTACTAACTAATAGATATAAGTTCATAATACTTATTGTCATATTGTTTGTTTGTCAATTTTGAAGTACAACATAATAATTTTACTTATTAGATATCCAACTTGAATCCAAATATTATTCTAGAATCAAAGGATATCCCAAGTAACTCAAACCATTATTTATAGTTCCTTTGGGATACTTGAATACTTGATTACTTTTTGAATTGTTTGCTAGTGTTGAGTATTATGATTAGTAGTATACATACTTAACCTTTCCATAACATAATCAAAGTCAAGTCTATTGTTCATGGAACATCAAGAAACCAATATCTTTTGAGTAATCTAATTATGATCAATGTATCGTCCCATTTTCATAACAAAAAAATTTCATTTTAATTAAGGTAAAATTTCACAGTTATAAAATTCATTTTAAGAAGAACCATTTGTTCCAATTTACATTTGTAAAAAAAATTAGAGTAATATAATAAACACGAAATCCTCAATGATGTTAATGAGTGTGTACAGTCACGTATTCGCCTTCCCACAATCACCGATGGTACCTAAAAACATAAACAACTGAGTAAGCATGAAGCTTAGTGAGTTTCCCCAAAATACCACACACCACAAAACCTATACAAGCATGCATACTAGGCCCACAGTCATCGGACTAGATTTCCCCGGGTATGTTGACCTGCTACCTTAAACCAACCACCCTTTCCGAGCCTCCGTGCCTACGGCTTACAGCCGGCTCACACCTGGTATCTTGGCCTACAACACACAACAGGACCGCCTCAACCTCACCCATAACAATATGTCGACATATATAATCAAAATAATAATCAAGTAGGCACATAAGCACATGAAATTATGAATCTATCTGCCGAACAACTCCCTACTGCCTACTCGACCCCTCACAACACACTGTTTTACTACCGACAAATCTCGAAGGAATGCATAACCATATGTAACCAGAGGTGAGATAGAAACCGAGACAGATGATCCTACTCTAGAGCCACAACCAAACAAGGAACATGCAAGAAAGCCTAGATCAAGAGTCATCGAGAAATCCTACGTGTTAGGGGTCAAGATCCTGAAACCTATCTAGAATCTCGGATCTTAAAGGAGTCTTAGGATCCCGAACATACATCAGGATCCTGTACATCGTCATTATTATTTTCTAACAAGTTTAATGGCTTTATTTCTTGTATATTTCTCACATGTGTAGAAATGGTCAACATAAGATTCATTCACAACGAAGAATCACTTCAACCAGGCTTAAAACCCATGAATACCATGTCAAAGCACGTTGCAAATACCAGTTCAACAAGATCCCGGAAATATCATACTTATAGTTACATAACATAGACCATATATATATACACACTTGTAACATGTACACAAGGACACAATTCTCTAACACCTTACCCATTTAGTCTCATTTTATCATTTGTAATCGTATTATGAAGCTTATCTCTGTAATTCTTTCTTCAATCAATAAAATCAAACAAGTCAGGTGATGATTATAACCTCCCAAGGTTTTATGCCGGAGATCCTAACAAGGATCAAGGGATTTCCTTGTAAACCACTCTTGTCATTTTAACTTCAATTCAATTCTTGTATTAGCTACAGCACCACAACCTTTCATACAACTTGGTTGATCTTCGTTTGATCGATTTTTTGACCAAAACAATTTGACGCCCACCGTGGGGTCGTGGTGTTCATAATCTTCGAAAAATCATGTCTACCCAATCAAACTTATCCCCTTCCTCTGTTCCTCTTATTTCCTCTAAAATCCTTACATATAAAAATACCCTTTAATGACATGCATTGTGTGTCGTAAAACGCACAGATGAAACACAAATGTGTGTCAAGGAAGGCCCTGTCATAAAGAAAGACAACACGCTTTTGCGCGTCGTAAATTTACGACACAATTTTACGATGCACGTTTATGACACACAATGTGTGTCAAGGAAGGCACTGTCATAAAGAAAGACGACACGTATTTGTGTGTCGTAACCTTACGACGCTTATTTATGACTCGCATTTCGTATCATTAAATCCCCTATCATTAATGAAGATGACACGCATTTGCATGTCATAAACTTCAACAACCATTTACAATACGCATTTATGACACACATTTATGAATAATAAGAAAACAATTCATTTCATACGATAAATGTATTAACATTTAAACTTAATCACATTCAATAATCTCATTATACAAAAATATAATGTATACAAATAATCTCTCTAAATTTGACCTTAAAAGTATAATCAATAACTAAGTGAACATTAGAAGGGATTAAGATACATGAATCAACTTTCACTAAATCTAGAAGCACCATCACATCATCCTGTGTGAAATACCAAACCCAACAAGATCAGACAATCTTCATCCAAATACACGAAGCAAATTCAATAAAACATATGGAAAGAACATTCTATTAACAAAAAAACCCAAAATGATGTCTTTATCTAGAAAAGGAAAGTTTCTTTTGTGTTTGTTTTTTTCATTTTATTTTTTTAGAGCTTAGAAGGTTAATGTTTTACACATGACATGATTATCGACCTAATACCTTATGCAACAAGTGCATCTCGTGCCCTATTTCCAGCAACCACCTGTAATTTATTAAAAAAAACGTCAAAACTGAAAACTAAGTAATCCCTTGCTCCTTTTTCCCCTTGACATAGGTAAGTAATGATGTCTATCTGGATAAATCTTGTTCCTTTTCTAGACTGTAAGAGGATTTTGATTGATTCATTAAGTCCATTAAGTCAAAATGAAACAAATACTAATAGTTTTAATAAAGTACATGACCAAAATCAAAATGAGAATAAAATATAAATAAATAAAAAAGAGACAGACCTGACTTGTCCCAACACTGCAGCATGAATATTGAGTTCCTTCCTGTTCATTCAACTCAGATACTATTTATAAAATAAACGCAAAAAAAGAACATATATAATTATAAATAATTGAACATGGTTTGTGTATTAAAATATATAGCCTGGATGGATGGAACCTGAAGTTCTTCGTGATGAACCTTCAAATGAGAAATTAGATGTTTACAATTTTGGTGTGATTTTATGGGAGCTTGCTACTTTGCAACAACCCTTGGGTAACCTAAATCCTGCACATGTTCAATTTTCATATTTATTGCCAAAATACACAAATAAATATAATCTGTTTTTTAGGTTGTGGCAATTGTGACATCCCCATTTTCACGGCCAGAAAAGGCCTATTTTGTTTATGCTTTGTTTAAAAATCAGAGTAACATTTTAAATAAAAGTGTTGCGGAATTTGTTCCCAGAAAAACATGATAAATGTGTTATCAAAGCATTTCCGAAGAAATGTATTTGTATTCCTTTTAAAACCTTGGGATGTCATTGTCAATACAGAAACATAAGCATAAACAGAACTTACATTCATTTACACTAGTGATCTACATCTCTTTTAAATATCTCAGTGTAAAGTGGCTTCATATCGACACCTGTGATACAAATAAGCTTGAGTGGGTCAGGTTGGGAAACCTGGTGAGTACATAGAGTTTTCAACCCACAATAATATAATTATTATGTTTAAACATCAAACAATCAGCCCAATTACCCATCCCCATTATATTCCTTACTCTTAAGAATCTACCCTAAGAGTCATCTATCATGCATTCGTTTATTCTGAAGTCCCTTGCTTCCAGGGTTATAAGACAGACTCTAAGTCCATAGCTGCTAATGCTCATTCGTAAAGCACTAAATCCATAGCTGCTAAAGTTCATTCATCAGGTACTAAATCCATAGC